TAAATATTTATTTATTTATTTATTTATTTATTTATTTATTTATTTATTTATTGTGTGGCCAGCTCAGCCCACCAGGGGGCGGGTGGGCCGGCATGTGGTGCTGGGGATTGAACCGAGGTCTTCATGCTTTGCTTGAGCTTAGCTTGTTCTAAGTAGGTGCTTTAGACCACTGAGCCATCTCACCAGCCCGTGTCCATTCATTTTCATTGTCCATTTTCTTTATTGTCTTTTTGAACTCACTATGTGGTTCAGGCAGGCTTTGAGCTCACATTTAGCCTAGTCTGGTTTTGAGCTCACAACAATTCTCCTGCCTCAGCCTTCTGAGTGCTGGGATTACAGGCTCATCGTCCATTTTTTTCATTGGGTCTTTTTTTGTGGCGGGGGAGGTTTTTTATTTTGGAGCACCTAATTTTTTTTTCAGTTCTTTATATGTTCCAGATGTTACTCCTCTGAGAAGCAGCTAACAACAACAACAACAACAACAACAACAACAACAACAACAAAATTCCCATTCTGTGTGTTGTCTCCTCAGTCTGTTGGTTGTTTCCTTTGCTGGACAGAAGCTTTTTAATTTGTTAAAATCTCATTTGTTGACTCTGTATGTTATTTCTCATGCAGTTGGATTCTTCTCAGAAAGTCCTTGCCTACGCCTATGTCTTCAAGAGCTTTTTCTACTGTATCTTCCACCAGACTTTCTGTTTTAATATTTAGATCTTTGATCCATTTTTATTTTAGTTTACATGGTATGAGATATGAGCCTAGCTTCAATTTTCTTCCTGTGGATAGCTGATTTTCTCAGCTTATTTTTAAATTTTGGGATAGGTCTAAGTCTCTAAGTTACCCAGGCTGGGCACATACTTGCATTCTTTCTGCCTCAGCCTCCCAGAATACTGAGATTACAGGTACGTGCCACCATTCCTTTTCTCTGTCCTTTTCATTTTTTTTATTTAGAGACAGGAACTTGCTAAATTGCGTAGGCTAGCCTCAGACTTAGCATTTGCCCTACCTCAGACTCTGGAGCAGCTGAGATTAAGATGTATGCTACTCTACCCAGTTTCTCTGAGGTTTGTTTTTTTGTTGTTGTTGTTGTTGGAACTGGGGATTGAACTCAGGTCCTTGAGCTTGCCAGGCAAGTGCTTATTCCACTGAGCTATCTCCCGGGCCCCTCTCTGAGCTTTTTAACCATTCCTAAACCATCTATTTTGGCAGTCCTGGCTTTTGTTGCTTTGTTTTGTTTTTAACTTCATGTGTGCTATAAATATATCCCAGTGTAGTAGTAGCAAATCTACAGGATCCTTGGCAAGATCTTGTGCCTTGAGAAAGTGTTCCCCACCCAACAAACTCTCCATTATTCAGTTTTATGATGTAGTCTTCTCATCAAGCACACTCAGAATGCAGTTCTTTGCTACTCTCCCAGCTCCGGCCATTACAGGCTTTATTTGTTCTTGGAATTCTCTGGGTGTAATCCTTTCTTATCAGTTTCAGTATGTCACCCAGTGGATTATGTAATGGCTTAACCCTGGCTATAAACCTGGTTGACAGGAGGCAAGGGTAGATTCTGAGCAGGCGTGGAGGTGAAGGCTCATGCAGGCTCACAGGAGACGGGCCTCTGCACTGTACATGAAAGGGAGGCTCATGTTGTAGCTTAGCAGCAGAGCACATGCCTAAAACCCTGGCATACATAAGAGCATGGGTTCCATCCCCCGTCCTAAAGCAAGAAGAAATAAAGAGGTAAGTGATAGTTGATAGTCCATGCATGAAGGTTCAGAAAGTTCAGAGGAATCTGGGAATTTGTCTTCAGGAGCATTAGCCAAATACTTCTCACTTATACAACATGTTATATCATTTTTTTTCCTGCGGAAGTCCTGGCCTCAGGTGAACAGATCTGAGTGGGTTGGGAGTTTATTTGAGTTTAACTTTATTTTAACTTTAATTGATGATTATCCTTGACCTCAGGTTTCCTCACCCTCAGACTGTATGTTAAAATCTCTTTTTATGCAACAAAGGAGGAACATTTTCCTCCCATGTCCCAATATCTATTATACATTTTGGTCTTTATTTACCCTATTTCTCATATCAGAGAAACAATGTGATATTTAAACATGTGTCTGATTTATTAGACAAACTGTTAATGTGTTGCAACTAGGTCAGTAGCTGGAACAAAAGTTGAATGAGGTCAAGAATTATAAGAGTGTCACTAGGTTTGCTGAGGAGTGAGAGATTGAAAGATCAAAGCCAGCAAAGAGAACTTAACAGATTTAGGACCAGTGAGAGGAGGTCGAGCAACCAAAGATCTCCAGTGTAGGATGTGAGCATTTACAGAAACAGGGAAGATGCATGGGGCACTCTTGTAAGCCCAGCATTCTAAGAGGTTGAGGCAGGAAGATCTCTCAAGTTTGAGCCCCATCTGGACAAATTGATGAGATCCCATCTCAAAATAAAACATGAAAAAGGGTTGGGATGCAGTTTGGAGTCAAAGCCTTGGTTGTGTTCGATCCTCAGTACTAGAGCACAAGAAAGCAAAAAGCTAAAAAGAGGGATTAATATAGGGAAATATGGTATGCTTAGTTTGACACATCAAATTGTAAATAGTGGCAAGCACAAGGACCTGACTTTAATCTCCAGTTCTGTAAAATAAATAAATAAAGAAAGAAAGAAAGAAAGTAAATGTTGGGTCCCCGCTGTTGGAACTGCTACAAGAGTTGGAAATGCATCCTGGAGTTTAGGGAAAGAAGTTACCAAATTGTCAGTAGAAAACACCTGTCGGAAACTAGAAAGGTGTGTGTAACTTAGGCTCTGGAGACATTTAAGGTGGTGGAAGAGGAAATCGGTGAGAACAGGAAGAAGCTAGGCCTTAAATGTGGAGTCCAGAGAAGTTGAAGCAGAACTTTAAGAAGGAAGAGGTGGCTGGAAACTGGCGATGGAGGAAACCTGGAACTGGCAGCCTCGTTTGATGCCCTCTTGGAAGCCCGGGAGACAGCGTGCAAGGGGTCCAGTCCAGCGTCCCCGTCGGGCGGGCGGGGCCGCCTGGGGCCCGGTGACTGTGGTCTCCGCTGGGCACGGGCAATCCCAGCAGAAAAGCCTTCCTGAGGCCACCGACAGCTCCTGGGGACGGCGTGGCGAGAAGGCCGGGGGACCCAGGGGGTGAAAGGCGCTAACAACTAAGTCCTGAGAGGCATGGGTGGAGTCTGCAACCTGTGGGCGAGAGGTGCAAAACTTCTCGGAATTGTCCTCTTTCTCACAAAGGGCAGAAAAAAATGAGAGGGAGTGGAGGTTGGGCCTTTTGCGGAATGGATGGACCAAAATCCTCAGGTCGCTGGGCTACGAGATTCTTGTCATCTTTCTTGGCTTTCTGCCCAGGGCCGGAACTTTAATGGTGAATCACCTATTTGGTGCCGGAAGAGAAAAGCGGATGGACCTGCACCGGAATCGTGGCGAACCCGGCAGGAAAGAGCGGAGGAACCGGCGGAAGCTTTGGGAATCCTTGAGGTAGGTGAACCGAGGCTTAAACTGTGGGACTTCCACGACCTGGCAGGTGACACAGGTCTGGCAGGTGAGGTTTGATGGGGCTGCTCCCTCGTGAACCATCCCCCCCCCCCCGAGTGCAGAGTGTGTAGTAGCTGTGACAAAATAATAATCTTGGAACCGTCTTTTTCGAGTCTTTATCTGTTCGTCTATTTATTTATTTATTTTGAAGATAGGGTCTCTCTATGTAGTGCAGGGTGTCCGTGAACTCACTAAGTAGCTCAGGCTGGCCTGGAACTCATGCAGTCCTCCCTCCTTGGCCTCCCTACTGCTGTAACTAAGCTGCGCTTATTAGTACGAAGGAACGAACATGGGGCGTTCTGCCACAGAGCTACATCCCAGGCTTTGTTTATTTTTATGTTTAGAGACAAAGGCTCGCCAAATTGCCTAGGCTGGCTTAGAATTTGCGATCCTCCTGCCTCAGCCTTTCTAATAGGATTACAGAGAGTAAATCACTGCACCCGGTTGGTTTTCTTATTTTGTTTTGTAGTTGAGACAGGGTCTCTATGTAGTTCAGGTTGGCCTTGAATGCATGTCTCACCAATATGCTAAATTGCACAGAGTAGATTCAAATTTCCAATCTTTTGCCACAGCCTCCCCGAATGCTGGAATTACCAGTGTGTGCCAACGTGCCCAACTCACACTGAAAATCTGTCCAGATCCTGAAGTGAATTACTTCGGTATTTTACTTTTTTAGAACCTATTATGTTGTATGTTATCAGTCAGAGATCAAAGAAAGGAGGGGAAGACTGGATTAATATAGCCTCAGAGGTCTCACTGAGTTTAGTCTTGCTCTAAGTGAGCCCAGGGCCACTGAAACTTCTCACATTTATTGAGGGCTAAACACAGGCTAAGGAATGTGCATAACTAATTTGATGTAAACAAAAACTGTTATTTACATCAACTTCCATAAGGTTACTATCACTAATTGGTAATATCCCAGTAAAAGGAACAAAGACCAGACAGGTTGCCTCCAGGAATTTGTTGTTCCCTGTATCCCAGGTTGCCAGAATTACAGGGGTGTGTGTGTGGGGTGGGGGACAGGACAGGGAAGGACATACTTCCTTAAGCTCTGTTTTTTATTCCTTGCTCCCTATTGACAGTAAGCTTCTGGCCCGTATTGCTGCACTATTATTTCTTTAAAAATCCAGCATAAAATTTTAAATAGATACAACATCTGCAGAGCATGTGGTTACATGCCTATAATCCTAGCTGAGGTAAAAGTATTATTGTGAGTTCAAGGCTAGCCTGAACTATATGATGAGACTGTCTCAAACAAAAAACAACAGAAAAGTTGATACATTTTGGGGTAGCATTTAGCACATACTTGAATTATTTTTGGGTTGATCAGCATTTTGATAAAGCTGAGGTCTTTGTTGTTTTATGGGGCCTGCTTTTAGTTATCTTAGTATTTTTTGCAATATGTACTGCAGTGCTCTGCTCATAACTGGCACCAAATGAATGATTTTAGAATTAGAAAATACGTTTGACGTATCTCTAATACTTACTCCTGTTGAATTTGAAATTGTGATGCATTGGTTGCTGCTGTACTGCTAATTTTTGTTTTCCCTCACAGGTGGAATTAGGCCATTTGCTGAAGCTTCCTCCCCTGGGAACTGGGGCGAAAATTACATTTTGCCCTTTACCTAGCATGGCTTTGGTGTGCAGGTTCCTGAATGGCACACGCATTCTCAGAAAGTGCCCGAAGCCATGCGGGGCGCTGTGCCTGCCTCATGGTCTTGTTGCAGCCTATTGTTCTAGGAGCCTTCAGAAGCCGGGCGCCACTCCTGGCAATGCCTCCCAGCAGAGTAGGCCCAAAGAAGGTTTGCAAGAACATGAACAGAAGGAAGTCTCTTTGGATATACCCTCTTCTGAAGAGAAGCCTGGAGTGAGTTTTGATGAATCCATTAGGGAGGAAGTAAAGGACCACTTGAGACGCTTGAAAGATGAGATCGTGAATCATTGGGTGGGCCCAGAAGGCCGCCCCTTACACGAGGTCCTACTGGAGCAAGCCAGGGTTGTCTGGCAGTTCCGAGGCAAGGAGGACTTGGACAAGTGGGTTGTGACTTCTGATAAGACAATTGGAGGCCGAAGTGAAGCATTCTTGAAAATGGGCAAGAACAACCAAAGTGCGTTGCTCTATGGGACTCTGAGCACCGAGCCCCCCAAGGATGGGGAGAGCAGGCAGAGTGGGTTCTGTGCAATGATCTCCAGGGTTCGCCGGGTAGGTGAGGCCAGGGCCCGCGGCTGGCGTGACTGGGGGACTTCCTGTCATTGGACACTCACAATACCATTGTTTCTGTAAATGAGCATACCTGGCGTGCTGAGTATGACATCTTTCCAGAGCACAGGATGTGGCTCCTGAGTTAAGATTCCTTGTTCCTGGCACTTTTTTGTGCTAGGGAGAAATGTTGCTATGTGGGGGCTCCTCAAAAGTTAGAGCTCTAGGTAATACTTGGAGGTTAGTGTTTCCTCTGCCTTAGACCATAACTACTCTGGTGGCATTTTTTTTGGTACTGGGGATTGAACTCAGGAACTTGTGCTTGCCAGGCAGGCACTTAAGCCGCTGAGCTATCTCCCAGGACCATTTTTTTCTTTTTTGAGTAGGCTTTTTATTTTAGAATATTTTTTTTTTTTTGGTGCAGGGTCTCACTACACAGCCCAGACTCGTAGTGATCCTCCTGATTTCTGCCTCCCAAGTGCTTGGATTACAGGCGCGTGCCACCATGCCTGGACTCTATTTTAGAATAATTTTCTATTTACAGAAAAATTGCAATTACAAAGGTAGTGCAGAGAGTTCCCATGTACCTCTTACCCAGCTATAATCGTAGTATAGGGGCTGGCCAGATTGCTCAGTGGATTAAAGTGCCTGAGACTGGCTACTGAGACTGGGCGTGGTGGCGCATGCCTGTAATCCCAGCACTTGGGAAGCTAAAAACAGACAAATCACTATAAGTCTGATCTGTGTAGTGAGACCCTGTAGTTCCTACAGACCCTGCACTAAATTAAAAATATATATATATCGTAGTATAGATTACTACATTATGCTTGTCATGACTAAGAAACTAACTTTGGTATATTGCTGCTAACTAAATTCCCAGCCTTGGATCATGAATTAATCACAGACTGTAGAGCTGTGCCTCAATGACTGCATGAGAATTTGGGGGAACAAATATAAATCATAGCAAGAGTGAAGAATAAGGGCAGGGGAGATAGCTCAGTAGACTAAGCGCTTCCCCAGCAAGTGCAAGGGCCTGAGTTCAATCCCTGGTTCTGCCAAAAAAAAAAAAAAAAAAAGCTGTAGGTCTAGGTATAGTGGCACTGCGTCTAATCCCTGCCACTCAGGGACCTAGAACTGGAAGCTGGTGTGTGCTACACAGCAAAAATGGGGGGGGGGCATACTCAGATAACATACAGCTCAGTAACCATTATGGAGTAATGAAAATAGGCAGTATTTGTTAATGTACCTTGCCAGACCTTGCTGGACACTTTATTTACATTATTCCACTTATCTGCATTATTATGTATTCCTCATAACAGTTCTGCAGGGGAAGAAAGATCATTGTAATTTTACGGATGAGGAAACTGAGGCTAAGGGATCAGTGTCTTGTGCAGCTGGTAAATTGAGTTTCCATCTGAGACTGTCAGTAGTGCAGTCAAGCTACCCTTGGGGCTGATTTGAATAAACACTTTTGGAAGCTCACACAACCCCACTTTTGTAAAGAACACAGACTTAGGGATGGAGACGTTACTGCTGTGCTCTCTGAAACAGTAAGATGGTGGCCCCTTTCTCGCAGGCTGCTGTGAAGCCTCGCTGAGATCATTCATACAAATGCCTAACCCAGTTATTCAGCTCCTACATAGCAAGAGCCTATCTCAGAAGTAAACAACAAAAGCCAAACCAAAACCTTTTGAACTCTTTCTTGACCATTTCTGACTTTTGAGCAAGGCAGCTGTCACACGGTAGGCTACTCAGAAGCCTCTGCTCCTGGGGATAGGAAACAGGCATTTTCAGCAAGCTGGCAAGCGTGTCCTGTGAGTCCTGTCCCCACCAGCTGTTTCCTGAATGTGACTTGAGAGATAGGAAAGTAGGTCAGCATTCTGTGCTAACCTAGTAATCAGGTTTACGTGCCTCCCTGTAGTAGAAAGTCTGTCAAGATAGAAGAATGGATCCTTGGGTGCTGCTGAGGTGATGAGGGTGAGGTAAACTGCCTTGCCTTTGTACTCAGGGCTCCTTTGAGAGGAAGATGTGTTACGACTGGTCCCAGTACAACAGTCTGTATCTCCGCGTCCGTGGTGATGGACGGCCTTGGATGGTGAACATCCGGGAGCAGAAGGAGTTCATCCAGAACAAGGACCAGATGTACAGCTACTTCATGTACACCCGC